AAGCCGAGAAGGCCATGATGTGAGCTATAGTCTAAACTCCTTAAAGGGGGGTTATATAGGGGATTATATAGGGGACTACTATAGGGGCTATTAAGGGGGATACTAGGAGTTTAGACTATGGCTCAGGTGGAGTAGGTAGGATTTTGTGTTTAAGGCTTAGGGTTTTAGGTTAGGGTTTGGGGTTGATGTGATAGTTTCCCAAAATAAGTATAGACCCCACCCCAACATACCCTATTATTGGGACCCCAAGGAAGGCACCCGTGATTTTGTGAAATCCCCATGTCCTGGTCGACATGACCTAGGGTTTGGGCTTATACATAGAGGATAGTGGAGAATTAGATGGAAAAGCCAATGAGAAGTGATATGGAAGCTACAATAGGGTTTAGGGTCTAGGCGTAGGATTGTAAGGTCACATCGTGATGGTGGAAAAAATGAAAGCTGCAATTTAAGGGTTCCGTTTGGGGTTTAGGGTTCAGGGTCTATGGTACATGTGAGGCCTAAGTAGTTTGGGGTAGGGTTTGGAGTTATTTCATACAAACGTTTTTTTTCGGGATTACGAGGAGCATAGGGTTTCTACACCAGGGGTTCTGATGACATGATGTGGGTTTGGTTGGGGATTAGGGTCTAGGGTTTAGAAACTGGGGTGCGGGAGACTGGGGCCCAGGGATTTAGGGTTAAAAGGACTAGAACTGAGATCAGGCTTTTGTTATGGCAAAGGCATAGAGGGATGCCTGACTGTGCGGGTGATTACGCGCCCGGCGTGGCTTTTGGTGCGGTTTCTAAGGTTTTATAGTTTTTGGCTAAGGTCCAGAACAGATATTCCAAGAGGCTTCCAACGGACAACATTGGGCACAATTCGTTGTGCGTATGCATAAATGGCCCAGTAGTGTCTTTGACAGCATGCCATCTCTTCTAGCTATAGAGGGGACCTGAAATCTAGCCCCATCACGGAAGGCCTACGAGTAGCAGCCCCCTGACCCTTACCTAAACTTCAAGACATAAACCTTGATCTATAAAAACCCTATATAACCCTTTTCGAACAAGAAGTTGGAAAAGCGAGGCCGAAGCAGATGGCGCGTCCATGGCTGCCAAAGATGTCGATGCTGCCTCAGCAACCGCCCTTCGTTGCAAACCACTGTTTGGGTCAAAGTTGCAAGGCTCTTGCTGTGCTAAAACCCAAATCCAACTATGGTCTTGTTGTGTTCTAGCATGTACTCATACCCCAGTGAGGAACCAGGTTTGTCCCAAGTCCGGGAGGTTCCTTGGAGATAGCTACGTACGTGGCTCCAGCAGCTGCAGCTTCATCCATAGCGTGATGCTTCAGCAACAAGTATTTAGGACATGGGCGCTCCGACATTGGGAGCATCTCACATTCTAGTTTTCGCAGTTCAAGGAGGTAGCGGCACGAAGTCCGCAACATGGAGTGAGATCATGCGTTTCTTTTGGCTGTAGCATTAAACTAGGACCTCCATTTTTCAATTCCAGGCCCCTGAGCTGAGGAAGCAGCAGCCATGCCTGGCATCGATCAGTCTGCACGACGTGGGCTGGACGATGCTGAGTCAGGACAAGCAGCCATGGCGCGGCAAAAGAACGCGCCACCTGAAACAGGCAACTTCAGCTACAGCTCCAAGCCCAGGGCGGCGAGTGCCAAAGAGCGCGCGCAGCCGGAACAGCCTTTGCCACCCCCGCCTCCACCCGAGCCCCGCAAAGTTACAATGGAGGAGGCTCAACGTGGAGTGTATGTGCCAGGTGAGATCGAGCCTTCGCAAACCAGAATGTACAACCCTCTCTTCCACATATGAGGTGGGGTGTTTGTTATTCTTCGAGTAGGTGTGCTGTGGAATTCTTCAGGAAATCTGTAAAGTGCATTTCTCGCTGCCCTTTTAGCGAGGCCATAAAATTGAATCCCACCTCGTGTGAAGCGACATGTGTGCCAGTCTCGGTTCGGATGCATTCCTCGTTGGAGAAAATTCCACAGCAGCGCTGCTGTGAAAAAGATGTGCTTTGCTTGGTTTGCAAACCAGACTCGCAATGGTAATAGTAATAGTAAAGGTAATCGTCGAAAAAAGAATCATGGCCGTGCTTGGCGCATCTGATTGTACAGCTGAGAGGCAAGACCATTGAGCCTTGGAACTTCCACTGCCACCTACCTGCCTCGGAGGGGCGTTAGATAATCGAATCCTCCCACATTTTGAGAAGCCCCCGTGTGAGCTGAATTGATCTGCAGTATCCCCTAAGGCCAGAGAAGAAATGCTGATGCCAGTCGTTTGGAGGCCTGCAGCAGGTTAGGGATCAAGTGTTTGAAATTTGAAGTTTTTCCTGAACCTCAAAAGTAGGCAAAATTTTCGTGCAAAACGCCTAAATATAGCCCAAAAGGCCATTATTCCACATACTTTTGGGATTGGGGTGTCCAAACGCTGCGGCAAGACCCTAGACCTGAGAGTTGGGCTTTGTCAACTATGTCGCCCACTCCTCTAACGCTACAACCCCAGACCCACCGTAACATGAATACTCTTTAGGGTTTAGGGTTTAGGCTACTGTATTACATTCCGAATTAGGATTATTAGTGGGAACGTTGCATTTTGGGAGGATGGGATTAGGAGTGATCTTCATTCTGAGAGGCGTCCACATCGGGGGCCCGAATCGACTCTAAACTCTGGGGGTTAGTAGGGAATAAAGGAAGATAATATATGAGATATATCCTAAACTCCTCACATGGGGTCATATGTACGGAAGTATTATAGAGGTTATTGAGGAGGAGACTAGGAGCTCAGACTACAGCTCATGTAGGGGTTATACAGGGATGATATTGGGATTATGTTCCCTTATTCCCGACTACTAGAACCCCCCCCAATATATATATATATACCCTTTCATGGTGTAGTAGTCTCCGTTTTCTGTTCTATTGTCCCAATATCACTCCAACCTACCCCTTCCCTACTAACCTAAGCCCTAAACCCTAAAACCCTAGAACCCTAAAACGCTAAAACCCTAAACTCCTAGAACCCTAAAACCCAAGCCTAAAACCCCCAAAACCCTAAAACCCTTACGCTAAGTATTGGTGCGTTAAGCTCGGACAGGCCCCGGATCCCGGTCATGGGTCCAACGGAACCTGCAGTGCTGAAGAGGAGGAAGTTCGTGTTTGCTTAGGAAGGTTTAGGGTAACATTAGGGTTATATTGGGGTTTAGGGGTAATTAAGGCTTTAGGGTTAAGGGTGTAGGGTTTAGGATTAAATTGGGGTTGTATTGGATAGTGGAAAACAAAATGGAAACTTTTGTATTATAATAGGGTGTATATATTGGGGTTATATTGGCATAATGGAAGATAAAACAGAAACTACTATTTAGGGTGTAGAGCTAGGGTTAGGGACCTCTCCGAACATGTACTGGGGCAGGTTCAGGGCTCAGGAAATCTTGCGCCAGTTCAGATCCCCAAGAAACTCTCACTCTATATAATCAGGGTATATAGAGTGGTGCAGAGCACAACGCAGCAGCATGAATGATCATCAATGCCATTCCCTTTGCTATCTGAGTTATTATAGTCCGACTTCGGTTCAGGAGATGTACTTCCGCACGCATGGTTCAGAAATATGAAGTAGGGTTATGCTGAATGTATATAAGTTTGCGGGATGCGCGGTCTCCTGGTCGTCATGAATGATTCAGTTTTGGAGTCGCGTTTAGGGCCTGGAGAACTTAGTAAGTAGTTTAGTAGTGGGGATAGCAGTGTTAGCATGTGGTAGTTTCCCGAAATAGGGGGCCCAATATGGCCGAAACACTCTATTCCTTATCATTTGCCGCCATACAGGTACCGCCTAATTTCTGGGAAACCCCCCTTATGTCTCGTAGAGTTTATATGTGTAGTCCCCCTTAAGTAGATAGAATATGGGTTTGGGTATATTATAATCAGATCCCCATATAGACCCTATTCTAATATAGTAATTTCCATGTGCTTTTCCATCATTCCTATGTAGCCCCAGATTCTATCTACTTAATTAAGGGGGACTATAACCCTAAACCTATATATCCCTAAAACTATGCCGCATATAATATTTACTTAGCTATATCCCATGCTCTAAACCCTGAACCCTATACCCTAAACCCTATTCTATCTACTTAGGGGGGACTATACTTTCAAAGACCTGCCAAGTACTCTGGGCCCTCAAAGTAGAGCCAGGCTCATTAGATTTTCTCGAGGTATCAGCTAAGGCAGAGGATCTGCGTGACATCTTTTCGTGAAAGGTTTAGCACACACATGATATGCGACGGACGCACGGCAAGGCAGTGCGGCCCATCGGTCCAGTAGGTCAGATAGGTGGCTCCTGTGGAGCGTTCTAAAACCGCCGCTCTAAATCGGCGACGGACTGGCAAAATCGCCCCGAAGCGAAGTCCTTAAGCAGGGTCCGTGCCTGTCTGAGAACACCAGGAACAACACCAATACGAATACCATCAACCGGAAAAGCGAAACCCAATGAGACCCTGGAAAGTCTGTACACACGCTTGTGGGCGAAGCCAAACTTCTCTAGAAATGCGAGTCCAGTTCGCCGAAANNCGCTCGTCGGAGCCAGTTTGTGTGAGCCAAACCCTAGCATCCAAAACCCAAAGCACGCCAACTAGCTCCAACCAAGAAACGTTGAACTCAACTACGGAACAAGCATCCTGGTCAATGACAATCTGCAACTGTCTACATGCTTGCACACCCTGAGCAGAAGTTATGCCTCGCGTGAAATCAGACTTCCATGTGAGCGGCAGCAGTTCGGTGAGTGGGTCACTCCTGGGGAGCTCTGCCGGGAAGTCATCTGGCGGTTCATGCTCGTCATATTCAAAGGCCTGCTCGTCCCTGAACTCGTCTGGGCTGACATGCTCAGCGATCTTGAGATAAAGACTCCGCAGCGAGCGCAAGACGGCGGCCGTATCCTCAAAGTAGTTCAACGCACGCTGTTGTACTTGCTGAAACGGCCATGTCCGGTTAGCGTTCGTAATCGTGGCTGTTGTGTCAGCAAACTGATTCCAACAAGCGACCCACTCTTCAAACGCAGTCTCGCAAAGGTTGGCATCCAGATGTGAGGGAACATGCTGTGTGCGAAGTTGCCCTCGCTCCAGGTCCGTCAGTTGATCCCAAATTCTTTGCCAAAGATCATAGTTGTTCCAAGCTGGGTCAGGCGCTTGACCCTCGAGGAGGAAACTGAGACCCTCAACAACAGAGAGGGAATCACCCCAAATGACACCCTGGACCCTGAAAGACCTAACCCAAGAAACTGCAGAAAGAACTGCAAACAGCTCAGCTCGCGGTGCGGTCTGCAGAATGCCAGGCAAATGATCGGAAGCGACTACATTGCCGGTAAGCAGGCCGGCTGCACGCACCATCTGTAAAAAGGCGCTGAACGCCAACAGTGGGTCTTGAAAGAAAAGAGCAGGAGCCGTCAGGCGTGCCGTGTAGCAGCGCCCGAAGCTCAGCAGCAGCTGAGTTGGCAGAAGGTAACAGATGGAACTTGAGACATGGAGGCAGCTCCGCCCAGCGAGCAAGTGTGGCTTCGTGACCCACTCTGGCGGCTGCAAACAAGGGGCATGTCAAGAGCCGATGCTCCTTATTGTCAGGAACGCCGCAGTGGTGGCACAAACCCGAGCGCGTCAGGTCAAATTTTGCTTGAGCCTCAGCAAACATCAGCGCCCCACTCTGCAGGGCGGCCACTTTGGAAGACTCGGTAGGGGAGAGACGCCTGCAGTCCAGGCGGGCGAGGTGTATAGGTGTTGGGCCAGCATTCGGGCACGCCAAGTGCTGAAGTGGATCAGGGACTTCATTCCGGAAGGCTCGCTCGGCTTTATGCCGGGGCGAGAGGCCTCTGAAGCCTGGTATGTTCTTGAGGGCCTCATAGAATGCGCCGTTCAGGACGCGCGTATATGGCACTGACCTAGTTCGGGCTTTCAACAACCTGCCGAGGACTCCCCTCTTCGCAGCAGCCCGGCACTTAGGCATGCCTGACAACCTTTTACGCCCTTGGAGCAGTTTTGTCCACGGCATGCAGCGACGTTTCGTGGTGCAGGGCGCGGTCAGCGAACCTGTCTTTTCCACTTGCGGTTTCGCAGAAGGCTGCCCCCTTAGTACTGTTGCGATGAGCGTCTGCAGCTTCCTCTACCATGACCTTCTCTTGAGAGCCTTAGCTACG